TAACATTATGTAAAGAATATTTAGAATTCAAGTCAATCTAAATAACGATTCTCTCGACTAATTAATGTAGAATCTAGAAAGTTGCAAATAGAATTCATCAGACCACGTCTTGCTTCTCCCTAAGCTGAAAAACGAGAGAAAATTTTCATGTTGCTAGATATATTTTTTCCCGTAATCAAAGTTAATGTCCACTACTGATTCATCCGAAGTGAAAATTTTGCAGTGCAATCCTTCTGGAATTATATTCGACTCGATGAGTGACATGATCACTTGAGAATCATCGCTAAGTGCTTACAACGGATTGTAATAGGGGTTAATACACTGCATTACGAGAGAAAAACCCATTCGTCGAACTTCAGAATTTCAAATCAAGTTGGACCTAAAAATTTAGCAACTCGAATTTCGAAAATGGAAAAATGTCTAATCGCAATTCTACAGTCGGAAAGATTATAATGAAATGCGCCATGTGTGTTACAGTCTGTGAGGATAGGCGAGGGTCGAACTTTCTCACTAAACACTTCAACACTTATTTGTAGCGATGTCTTTCAATGGAGCAATTGTCATTATGACGAGCAAAACAAGTAGTTGCAGCAAGATTCCATTAATTAAATGTTTCATTCAACTTTGATAAACGCTTTACTTTTCACTCACAAGTATAACTAAACAGATAGGTGAAAAGGAAAAGGAATTCTAACAATATCCTTCTACTAAGTAGATATCAGTGTGCGACATGGGCTAATTTTCTGTGAATCGATCCGAGTCGAATACTGCCATATATTATAAGTTTCGTGCATCGATTTAGCATTTGATAGCAATTAATAAGAAAAACTAACTTATGAATTCAGTCTGATCGATTGAATACAAAAATGACTTCAGCAAGAAATTGCTAATACTTGAATCCAGTATTCTATTGAACATTGCTAGGCTTTTTATTTAATATATGATGAACTCGAATATCAATATAGCATTTCTCACCGGATGATATCGTGGAGGTGAAATAAGGAATACTTTGCTGTAAGCTATTGTCAATTGTGAACATGGACATGAAAGTGTTTGCCAATAAGTGCTATGAAGTTTTTCAAAAGTTGCCAAAGATGGATTTGATATTATCACGGAACGTATATTGATTGTTGATGATGAGTAGATCATGAGTGTCGTCATACAGACTAGTACTAGTGTTACAAAGAGGCGCGTTGCATGAATACCAACTACTTTATCATTCAAATCATTCTTAAATAAAAACGAAAATTCTAACGAAATTTTGATAGTGTTATTTTTAATATTTAGATCGGACTACGTCAAATTTTCATTTCAATTACACTTCAAGTAAAACATAGTCGTATAAATGACTTTAACCTTATTCAACGTAATGTGAACAAGCTTATTTATGATGTATCCTCTTTCACACTAAAATGTGAAACTCACACATGTTATTTAGTTTCAATAACCTAATACAAAATTAATGAAAAGATTTTTGTATTCAACAAATGTCTAAAGTTCGGGTTACATACATGATGAATAAAATATTTACTACGATCTTGAACAAAGTTATTGAATATAAATACCTTCTGAGGAAGTACAAATAGCTCACAAAAAATTGGCAAATACTGCTGATTTTTTAACGTTTTCAAATATATTTTTCACAAGCATACGAACATGTGATAAATTAATCGTAACTCAACGAAAGAGATAATTCAAAACCCATACTTTTTTTTCTTTTTCTTAAATATTCAATTCCAAAAAGGCAGTAGATTCAATAACTTCCTTCTCACCAGTTTAGGCGTATATTTTATCAAATGTGTTTTTTTAATATTGAAGTCAATTGATAAGATGCCTTCAGTGGAAGTTTTACAGGATTAAAATATGAAACAGGATGAATCTATACCATAAAAACATGAAGATTATTGTCATATTCAATCTGAATCATCAGCAGGTTAAGGAATAATCTTGTTTGATAGTCTTCAATTGTCTATATAGATGTTAATATGCCGTACAATGAGTAAAAAAAATATAATTTCCAAATTATCAAACTTAAAATCGATTCGAAATCTAAAGAGGGCAGGGGACGTTTTAGGTGCATTTCGACCCAATTAGAAAATGAAGGCAGATTTACCTGAAACTTTTAGCAAATACTCAACTTTATGTTAGTAGTCATCACTCAAAATTTCAGCTTGATCCGTTAACCTTATTCTTTACTTCGACATATCGAAAACGTAGACCCTAAATATACGTAAAAATACCCTATAGAGGTTGCCTTGTAAACCTTCGTTCTCCACTATACGATTCAGGCCTAGAGTGATTTTTCTAGGATCACTAGGAATCAGCAGAGGCTACAATGTTGCAAGAACATGAGGTCCAAAGAAACATGCCTTGACATCACTATGAAGTACACGCTGCCAAAAATCTATGACAAAGCCCTATAGAGGTTACCTTGTGGACCTTCGTTTTCCACTATACGATTCAGACCCAGAGTGATTTTTCTAGGATCACTGGGAAGCATTAAGGGTTACAATATTGCAAGGACATGAGTACCAAAAAACATCTGCCTTGATATCACTTTGAAGTACAGAGTCCCAAAACTCCATGAAAAAAGTCCTCTGAAGATAACCTTGGAGACCTTCGTTCTCCACTTTACGATTTAAACTTATAGTGATTTTGCTAGAGTCAGTGGAAATCAGTAGTAGCTACAATATAGCAAGCATATAAAGTTGAGTGAAACTTCTCGTATATGACAATAGCGTACATAGTCGCCAAAATCCATGAAAACGTGCCTTAGAAGTAACCTTGTGGGCCTTCATTCTCCACTATTTGATTCAAACGAGGAGTGACTTTTCTGGATGTGGGGTATCGGTCCCGATGCAGCGTGGATGTGACTGTAGGTGTGGGCGTTGGTGTGGATGTGGGTGTGGAGTTGGTGTTCCTGTAGTGATGGAGAAGACACGCACCAGACCCACTCGCATCCATACACCAAAAACTCTTAAAGCCAATCCTACTCTCTGCCTTCCCCGCCGTACACTATCAGCTCCCACAGTCAACACCCACACTCAACACCCACACTCAACCTCACGATTGTCACTTATAAAAATATTATCCTTCATAGCGGATTGATAAAGTGGCATCCAGATTCGTGTCCCACATCAGCCAACCCAATGCTTCAAACCGCATACAACGTACTACGATTGATAGTCATCCGATGACACTAACTAGTGCATTCTCATGATAATCTAACACATCCTTTCTTACACAGTGCACATCTGCATAGTTCTCTTGGTTAGTGATTTACCGTATCGAACGATCTAAACATTCGGACAGCTCCTAGGAAAATATTTCGAAGTCTGACTACAATACTGCCGGGCAAACGTATCCATTATTCCCTCTATAACACTTTTCACTAATAATTTAAATCCTATGTACACCATCGTGTTATCTTGGCAGCTTTTACTCACCCTTAAGGGTGTGCCATATCGTAGTCCATATCGATTGTTGGTGATACTGAAAAAATACTCTGCGTGAGAATCACATAGTGGAAAACGAAGGTCCACAAGGCAATCTCTATAGAGTTTTTTTACGCATATTTAGGGTCTAGGTTTTTGATGTGTCGAAGTAAAGAAAAAGGTTAACGGATCAAGCTGAAATTTTGAGTGATGACTGCTAACATAAAGTTGAGTATTTGCTGAAAGTTTCAGGTAAATCTGCCTTCATTTTCTAATTGGGTCGAAATGCACCTAAAAAGTCCCCCGTCCTTTAGAGACCCGACTTTCGAAAATTTCAAAAACCTCCACTAAATAGTTCAAAAAACCATAATAGGATGTGGCATGTATGTAGCGATTTGTGGGACAAGCTAGATGGAACTAGAATCCAAATACCTCGTGATATAATTCAACAATAATTTCCAACCTTGTGTCAGAAGAGAATATAATTTTTGGTGAACAGATAGAGCGTGTATATTCATATGGTTTTATGAAATACATATTTTTATCCTAAAAAGTGATTCTTAGATATCATACTTCGAAGAGATTTATTGTGAAAATACGCAATTTGACTTCATGCAACATCTGTATCAACCGAATATTCCAACCTATAAGAAAAAAGCGGTCTCTTACTATATTGAAGCATCTAAAAATACCTGGTTTTACGGTATGAGTAACATTCAATCTGTGTTCAAGTTCCAATGTCGAAATAAACGAGATGGTAGATACACAACTAGTTCTTCGATTAGAATCTGAAAAATAATTTAGTAAATGGTATTCTTAATAAGTACGAAGACATCATTTCTTGATAATACCTTGTTGTTTTTGTGCAGAATGAACATCAGTTTGTGTCTTCTGAAGCAACCACCGATAAATAATTTGACTGCACTGGACAATTAATGGTGCTATGGTACGAAGACCAACAATGAGACCTCCATATGAACCAATGAGTAGAGTTAAGAATACCATTTACTAAANGACCAATTTTCGTTCGACCATTTTTCATTCGACCAATTTTCGTTCGACCATTTTTCATTCGACCAATTTTCGCTTTCCCGGAAATTTTCAATCTTTGATGTTTGTGGATTTCTTGTTTCCTTTATTTTTCCTCGCCAAGTATTTGTTTTTTCGAAATTTCCTCTTCCGAATTTGGCAGGCACTATGGTGAACATGAGTAAAATTTTGATCGAAAGTATTGGAAGTGGAATATGAACATTGTGTTCCAGTTACTTATTCAATTCTTTACATGAAAAATATAGTAGTAATATGATGGTTAAATAAATAAAATTATATCATGAATTTTCAGTATTTTTCTTCTTTTTTTAAAAGAATATTAACGAACATGTAGCTTTAGACAACAAGCAATTGATATCAGCATAAAAACAGCAAAGACAACATGACTCAAGCTATTTGAATATCCATGCGAAACAAAGCAAGAAAACTTAGAAATTATGTGAAGTTTGATAATGAAAATAGTAACTCAATGTAGTGTTTGATTGATCAAATGCATTTCTGTTTGTTTTTTCTAAATCATAATTGTGCAGCAACTCGACGAGATTGAATACGCCTTTTCATCAATTGATAAATTCTTGTCATATTCCAGATGATGAATCGTAAGCCAATCGTAAGACCACCATAGAGACCAAGTACTGATGTAGGCACGTACAAGAGATTATTGCGTGTAACATATTCAAAATTGCAATGAGTTGGTGCACATGCAGCAAAATAATCTTCGTATGAACTTGTATTTGTCCACTCCTCGATAAAGAATTCGTCAATGAGCGTACCAATTGAAGTATTCTTTGAAAAACGCGAAGGGATTGAGTCGTCTAATGGAGATATAGTCCAGGGCAATACTGTGGGTGGTATGAACTTGATCGGTGGTGATCCATCTATTTGTGTGTAGTATTCAAGATAAGTGAGGATGGTGGAGATACAAATCGATGACAACAAGCATTCAAGTGTGGACATGCGTAGTCCATCGAAAGGTAAACAACCAACAACAAGACCGGGTAAAAAGATGCCTGGTGGACCGATTCGTAGTGCTTCTTGACATTTTCCTGAAATCATACAATTACATGTAGTATTAGTAAATGCACGAGGTACACTTCGAATGAGATAACCGTCAGACTCGTCACCGTACTCCAATAACCAATCAGTATTGAAGGCTGTTGGCAAAAAACTAAAGTGAAACAGGTCAAACGAGAAATATTGTATCCGCCGATAATCATTGGATATGATTTGAAGGAACAGGGAGATAGCTTGGGCTATTTCCATTTCAAATGATCTTCGAGATAAAATAGTTGCGGTCACCAACAATGTCCGAAGGAATTTGCTAATTGGAAAATCAATATTCTTCATTGTGTCTTTACACATCCATCCCAAAATTTGAAAATACCTGCTGAGAAGAGGTCGATCACGCTGCAGGTGATTGTTTGCAGAGGGTCCATATCCATAAAGTAGTGTTGTCCATGTTGTAGTGATAAATGCACTCGAACAGATCTGAACAATGCATGACATGAAAATATCTTAGAAATCTGTAAACTATACACGATATCTTAGTCAACAGCACTCAGAGATCTGGGAAAACCCATATGAATATGCTGCTGTTTTGTGAGGATCTTCCTATCTTCGGTGAGTAGTATTATGTGTTGATATCAATCAACAATCAAGAGGTCTCTGTGTTTGAAAATCATACAAATTATGAATTTATTCGTCTGAGTCCTTATATATAAATAAGCAGGTTGACCCAATTGGTCAGCGTGGAGTGTGTAAATACTCCAATCAGGAGATATTTTCGCTTTATCCCAGTGGAGCCGAAAACTTTTCTCGCGTTCTGTAAGAACAAATTTTTATCTATTTTCAAAACATCCCGATATCTCCCACCTTATATCGGCTATCTCAGACCAGTAGCGTAAAAAAGCGTTTCATATTCCAGAAAAAGCCTCATTCTCGTATGGCGAACTATCCTCTGCATATGCATAGAGAAATAATGCTCATGTGAATACGAATATCATTGATCCAAATAAATTACCTGATGAAGTTTTGGCTTCACAGAAATGAAGTTATTGTAAGGTAGAGTAGCATTTTGGCAATAACACGAGAGTGTGACTGGATATGACTTTTGAAGTTGTTCAAATGTAGCAAGTGAAGGTGATGATATCGTTTTGGAGATATTGATGAGACTGAATCCATTTAAAAGGGCAAGTATCGTCATGACTGTACTAAGTAAAACAACGTAGATTCGACTTGATGTAAATGCCACCTTCTCGCGATCTGACATTTTACTACTGGAGCATTCTTTTCTGAAGAGATTCATTTTAGCCAAGCGTTTGTTTATTTTAGCTCTTAAGCTATTGAGCCGACGTGAAAGATCTAATAAATGATAAAAGAATAACAATCATTCTGTTATGAAAATATTTCCACCAAAAACAAAATGTATGTATTGCATTGCTATGATCTCAAATTCGAATCTATCAAGCCTGGATCAGGAAAAGAGAAATTTTGAACGGTTCGGCAGCATATTTATTCATATACACTTTGTGTCCTGGGTTTCATACAAGAAATGCTGAAGCCTATGGTAAGAAAAGTAAATCTTCACTTTTTAGTGTTCTCACCGATCATGGCACATGTGTCAACATAATCTTTTAAAAGTATTCACCTGAAATTTTATTATTGTCGAAGGATTTTCAGATTTCGAATCTATTCGAAACACATATAGAACCAGCTTCATCACACTTCAAATTTTAGTTTTTATCGGCATTGCATGGAAAGCTTTTTGTTCAAAAATAGAAGGCGACTGTTTCTCACATCATCCCAAGCATGATCCCCTATCCTTTAGATTAAAATCTCTTTTTGTCAAAAAATCACAGAAAAATGGCTCGAAGATGTGCGACACTTTTCTTTTTCGAATACTTACTAAATAGTTTTCCTGTTAAGTATGAGACGGTTGCTTACCTTCATGGCGGTCTAGCTCTTGATCATGAATATTTGATCGACGCCGACGTTGATGAAAGAAAATTAAATGAAAAAGCTTTGCAGCAACAGGAACAATAAGACGAAGACTAGTGACAAGGCCACCAAACAGTCCACTGATGGTTGTAACGATATAAACCCGATCCATTCGCTGTACAATTGTGTATGTACAGATAGCTGGAGCACAACTTGTATAGTATTCATCGAAATTTGGGCTCAATTTCTGCTCTTCAACCATCAGCCGATTCCAAATAGTACCAAGTGTGTCTTCTGGTGAGAATACTGACAAAGTTGAACTATTCAAAGCTTTAATATTAAGGGTAGCTGTAGGTAGTGGGAGTCGTTTGAGCATATCAACATGGAACATGAAGAGAAGAATGTTCAAACAGGTCTGATTGAAGAAACAGCGTAAATCAGAATTCAAGACGGATTCGAAACTGGTGCATGACTTGACTAGACCGGGTACGCTCCAGACTACAGTACCGGCTGTGCAGTTGTCACCATACTGACATAGAAACTGACCTCCAGACCATGAAGGATCTGGACAGTCGAATGCAACGCTACAGGCGCAGACGTTAAACGCAGGAGGAGCAGGAGAATATCGGCGCAGAGAAGGCTTGCCATTCACTTCTAATGATTGAAAACGCATACCACTCTCAAACCCAGCCACAACGAATAGTCCTTGCAACAACGGTAGATAAATCGAAATTTCTTCTTTTAAACGTACCAGATCTTCGGTAAGTAGAGAATCTACACGTACTTGAAGTTCGTTTCCTTAACAGCAAAGAATGAAGTAGCCTTTATTATCAAACCAAAGACTTGATATATCTAGCATGTCTCCATGACCTTACTACTTGCTATCATCTAACATGAAAGTAGAGAGAAATATCTCAAACGAGTTGCCAGACAGAAAAATGAACCATAAACAGTATAAAATATTAGTGACACATACATCCAAGTATTCCGAAATATAATTGGAAAAATACATGTTAGAGTTTTCGATTTTTTTCAATGAAAAAAATGTAAAACATTGATTGTAAGAACAGCAATACATTGAGAAAATCACTTTGAGTCAACAGACTCGCTAAAGCAATCGTTTGAATTGTATAAGAACTTTCAAATATCAATAAATGTAACATGAGTCAATCACTGTTATATGTGTACAATACAGTGCAAGATACATGCCCTCTGACAGAGGAATTTCGTTAAAGCCTACTTATGAATTCACTGGAGTAATCGTCAAAATACTTCTTTTGCAAAAAAAACACTCCGAAATTCATCCTATGAGACTAAATATCTCCAAAAGTGTTGTTGTGGTTCAACAAAATAGCACAGCATTCAAGAGTACTAACCGTTTGTCAACAGAGTGATTTATCATCGTATTTTCTTGGAGTAACGATATTCTTAATGCAGCCTGTCAGATGATGACCGTTGCCGGTGTCATTTAATATCGAATCGGTAAAATTCAAGTCGATCTAAGTACTGTGCAAGTGGAATATTTAGAAACTCATCTAATAACTGTCGAATAACATCAACTTCAAGCCATTGAAAAAACTTAAAATCGGTATTTGAGACACTTATCGAAAGAGAAAAAATCTGGAATAAGAATGAAGACATATGTGAAAAACTATTTCACTTACGAGAAAGTGCCGTTGTACTGATAAGATTGTTCGTAAAAAATAGACTTTGAGCAAAGTCGATCGAGTTTTGAGCGAAAATGCAGAGAAATGCAATGTTATAGAAGAAATGGAGCCCGCCAACACGAAAGTCTCTTTCTGAAATATTGCGTCTATCTGAGTCATTGGAAAATCGGACCGTGAAGAATCCATTGAGCCAAATGGAACCCAAAAAGTCACTTGTGCAAATCTGTTAGTCAAAAATAAACATTATAATTACATGTGTATATGGATGTGAATGAGGATAGAATGGCTCGAACTGCGAATGTTGATTTCTCTATCATCATTAAAAAAGTTTAGTTTTTCCATTTTTTTAAAAATATTTTGTAAAGGATATTTAGGATTCAAATCAATCTAAATAACTATTTCCTAGAGTAAATAATCAAGGATCTAGAAAGTTACATGTAAAACTTGTCAGATCACGCTCCATATGTTCCTAGACTAAAAGATGAGGAAATGTCATGTTAGTAAATGCATTTTTATGACGATCCAAGTAAATTTGCGCTGCTTGTCCACCAACAACATACAGCTTTCAGCGCAATTTCTATGGATATTAAAATTTGAAACACAATGGGCCTATTTCACATGAACATGAAGATGCTTTTATATTTAACTCGATATATCACAAGGTCACTAGAGAATCACCTCTATGTACCTATAATGATCTGTAACAGGGGTTAATCTACCGCATTACACGAGAAAAGTCGGTTTTTCGAACTTCAGAAATTCATACGGATTCAACACAAAGAATCCATGAGTTCGAGTTTCGAAAATCGAAAGCTCCTAAACCGAAATGTTTGAAAAACCAAATTTTCACGATCCAAAAAAAACCATAATAGGATGTGATATATCTGTTACGGTGTGTGGAAGATGGAGGTTCAACTTTATCGCTACATACTTTAACACTCATTTTCCATCATGTCTCATAATGTATCGATGTAATTATGACCAGTAGAACAAGTTGATGTCCGTGTGATGCTGACTTTCATCAATAATGATCTAGATAGCGTCAAAACTATCTCTGTGGGATTAGAACGTGACACGATGAAACTATTTTAAGCATAAGGATTCAGAGACCGAAAACGAACTGAACCAGAACCACTTTTTTTTTTAAACACACTCGAATCAAATCGAACTCGAATCCAAACTACTTTTCGAAAAGCGAGTGGATTTAAGGGAATGTATAAGAAAAATGTTTGATTCAGGTATTACCTTTTTCTTTTTTTTACAAGTGTGATGCTCTGGACAACAGTCAAAGGACGTTTGATCGATTGTTTTATTTTAAATACTAAAACCGAACCGAACTTGAGCAAGTAAAACTCGGTTCAATTCGACTTCTTTAAAGAATATAAATTATATCCTATATTTCAGTCTAGTGTCACGATTGTAACAGAAATAATATTAGAAAAATATGACTTGTACAAAATGTGCCGTAGCATGAGTCTGTTAAGTGTTTCATTCAGCTGTCATAAACGCTTCACTCTTCACTCACAACTATAACTAACTAGATAGGTGAAATGGCAAAAAGAATTCTAACTTTATGCTTCTATTAAGCAAATATCAGTATCCGACATGGGTTAGTTCTGTGAATTGATCTGATTCGAGATCAACTCTCTTTCAATGACCCGACTCGAGTCGAACACTAGTAGATATGATAAGACTATTGTACGTTTGGATACTTTTTAAAATGTATCAATTATATGCATGTGAAAACATGGTTTGACCAGGAACCTTTTGGCTAATGTACGAATATAGAGTTCGAAAACAATCAAGTAGAAAAAACTTGATCATGAATTTAATCTGATCAATCGGTGACAAAATTTGTTTCAGCATGAAACCTTTGATTGAATTTAGATAAAGAAAAATTTGAAATAATTTTTCCTAATACTTGAATTAAATATCCTATTTTGTATTGGTTTATTGAGGTTCAAGAACAGATGTGAGTTCCACATTGCAGCCCCAAGAGACTGCACTAGCAAACATTTTCACACTG